TTAAGCGTGATGTCACATATACCGACAGGAATTGGGTTGTAAGATACGGGGATTGGACAGTAGAGGGAGCTATTCACTCTTGGAAGGCTATATAAAGGGGAGACTGGTGATTGGCCAGAGGAGGGAGTTTCATTGTTTATAAATAAGGGGGTTAGGCGAGGAACGTCAGAACGGCCATAGCAATCTGGGGAGCCGTTCTCCGGACATCGCGGGTCTGTGCCTATGCTGTAAACTCGTGATTTTAATAAAAGCTTCTCACACGATGCAGCATAACGGACTCTATGTTGACAGCAATAATTGGCCACCACTCATCAGATACGACAGTATGTTCCAGTATGTGACGTATTGATTCAACTGGCAGATCCATAATATTATGTAGCATGAAAGGTAAAAGAAAGAAGCTCAATTTACCATATTTTTCTACCTTGAAGTGATGGTATATTTTGTTATCACCAATCCACACTACAATAGCATAAGATCCTACAGGTGCTTCAGAGTTCAGGGGGTGAGAAAGCTGCAGAATGTTGCCACTGGATGAAGTATTGACCCACTGTCCAATCCTGTTCTGATGAACATCCTGTTGATTCATAGAACAAGGGACATGTTTAGTAGGGCACAACATTGTGGAACGTTCAGATACAAATATGTTATGTAGGCCAAACATGCCTGTCTAACATGTAGAATAAGGAGTCACGTCAGTTCTATTCATTACATTCTATCCGCAACGTTCCGAAGTTTGCTTGTTGAAGGTGGCCCAGATGTTATCACATAAAGCTTATAGGGAGTCTACTAGTAACTGCCATGTGGAAATGAATGATGACCTCCAGTACCTAGCTGGTGGAGTCATTGTCTTATGTCGTAGTATTTAGTGACAGTCATCATAAATTGACAGACGAATAAGGGTCTTACCTCAAGTTCCACAATGTTGTACTGTGAAGGGCAAGACAAAAGATTGGTTAATGTTTTATGAATAACTCTCAAATTCCCCCAAAATAACCAAAAGAGCAAAGCTGTCTACAACTATAGGGACTAGGTAGGTGCTTGGATTTGTCTCTTCAACTCAACATCACAAGTAGTATTTGCACTGGAACTCTAATGTCAATTCAGTAAATTAATTCAATCTCAGGAAAGAAAATCCCATACAATCCAATCTGACCTACAGTATATGAATGGAAAACCCCATGTCCTGTGGTGAAGGTTTGAGGATCTTAAAATCCACCCACACAGGTTTATTTAGAGAACCTCTGCAGAACCTTTGCCCTGAGTGCTATGTGCCTCAAATGTTTGTGTAGCCTTATCAAACAGACAGATTTTGGATTTTGCCCAATAGTTGTTCAAAACATTTCCCATTTCCAAAGTCTTATTGTTCATGGAGTACTAACAGGATGTGTATGACGTCATAGCTACTTGATTGCTAAATTAAAATAACAATTTACAGTATATTCTACACAATAAGCCTTGTCCATAAGGCAGGAGCCTATGTCCTGTTTCTGTAGCATGAAGGAGCCTGGACAGGACGCTAGTCTATTGCTGGGCATTAACCTCAATCCATCTCCTTAATGTTCAGTGCCAAGCAGAGTGGCATCGGGTCTCATTTTTAGAGTCTTTGGTAAGGCTCGACACCCTCAAACTTCCATTCTCAGTGAGGACACTAACCACAAGGCCGCAGAGTTGAGTTGGTTGGACAATATCGTACATAGTGTTACATAATACCTGAATGCTATGTCTATCAGACAGTAATGTGACGTTGTGACCCTTGAGATCTGTCTTTCTGTTTGAAAGAGTGGAGATACTGATCTAAAGGACGACCAAATACAGGTAATTGTTTTCAATATTCAATGTTGCACATTTTCAACACTCACCAGCTGATTGACAGGGCTAAAACTGGTATCCAAGGTGATCACTCTAAACTGCACTGAAAAAAGACAATGAAAAGACAAAGACAAGCACTCAATGAGAATTTTAGAAGCATAATTTAGCTAACTTTCCCAGGTTTTCCAGAAATCCCTGTTGAAGGATTCCCAGATTCCAGGAATCTTTCAGCCAGGATTTCTGAAAAACCTGGGATTTTCAGGAAAGTTAACAGAATTTTGCAAGACAGCTTTTCTGGATAATATTTTAGTGTTGGTACTAAAGCCCCAATTCAATAAATTGCAGATAAAGGAAAACTGCTCTGCGAGTTCGCTGAAAATATTTACACTATCGATATCTTTTTATTTATTTTATGTAACCCTTATTTTACCAGGTAAGTTGACTGAGAACACATTCTCATTTACAGCAACAACCTGGGGAATAGTTACAGGGAGAGGAGGGGGGATGAATGAGTCAATTGGGATCCAATGATAATGTCCAGCAGAGGAACAGCTTTTAACATGTGGTATGTTGGTTCAAACTCCAGTGTACATATTCTGAATGAACCCACAGCAGATTTTTTATTTATCTGCACCTGATGGTCCTCTTTCAAGTGTCTCTGGGATGACAGAGCATAATAGAAACATGCTATCACCTAATTGTCCTGTTTCTTAGCAAGCAGACTAATTGTGTACTGGCTCTGTGTAAAATTACCTGTTTGTCCCGGGTTGTAGATTGGTTTATCCGTTTGGACGAATGTCATCGGGCTGTACGGTTTGATCATGACCTTTCTCTCCTCTGTTGATAGAAAAGTTTCACCTCGAATCTCCACCTTAAATCTTTGCACTTCGTCACTCTCCACATGAGGGGCCTGTCAGGGAGACAATGAACCAATAACATATGATCCAGTGTGGCTTAGTTGGTAAGAACGTGCTGCTAACAACATCAAGGTTGTGAAGGTTCAATCACTTCTCCTTTCATCAGTGTGTTTTAAAAATGCTTTTTCTTTAGTAGTTGATGTCATCTTTTTTTATGTCAAATTTCAGCCTGAATTCCAGAAAAGTTATAGTAAGCCACCACATTGATATTTCCCATAAAATAAGATGGCATTGCACACACAATTAAGAGATGCATCACAAAGCTAAGAAGTATAGTAAACTCTTATTGGAATGGTTCTGGATGTCGCCCAGTGCGGGGCTGACCTGAAACTGGAAGCAGCGGTGAAACTCTTGGTCAGAACTCTCTTGGAGAATACTTTTGTTCTGTCCATTGGCAATCAGAGATATGGTCATGACCAGGGTCTCGTTGGGCTGCAGAAGGCTGGCACAAAGCTTAGCCTCTGAGCCTGCCTGGATCACTGCAGGAATGGCTACCATGTAAACCCTACAGAGAACATATGCACGCACAGCAACAAACACACAGGAAAATCAGTACAAAATGAGAGGGCACTTCTAAACAAGAAACTACATATGTAGGATCTTAATTTGACCAGTATTGTCAAAGAAAAATAATCCTGCAGCAACAGGATTTGAACATTTAGTCCATAATGTTGCTTGATCAGGGGTACCCTTACGAAAAAAAAAAACACATGAAAATCACGTGTTCACATCAAGGAGAGTACTTTACTTTAAAAGGCATAATTGACATTAATTTAATTTAAACAGTCATGGTCCCCTGCAGGTTTTGTGCTGTTACAGGTTTGTTCCAGGGACGTCACCAATAATGTTTTTAGGATGTTCTTAGAACGTTGTCATGGTCCCCTGGAGGTTTTTGTCTAGTTGCGGTGAAAATACAGTATTTATACGTTTTTGTATTTTTGGGGGGTGAATGGGCCAATAAAAAATAAAAATTCAAGATAAAAAAATCAAGAATAATTTTTGAAAAGCCTATATTTGTAGGTGAAATACACAGAACAAATATCTGCAGAAAGGATAGATGAAAAACCATTCTAAATTTCCTCTCTGACAGAGATAATGTTACTCCAGGACGAGACGCCACATGTCTGATTACTAAATTCTAACTGACTGCAGATTTACTTACGGTCTTGGAGTTTTTTGACAGACACAAAGCCAGTGAAAGCAGACAAAGAGTATCCATCTCCAAACGTGATGCCCAGAAGGAACCATGACTCAATGAGAGAAATAAAAACACCAGGTCAGCCTATATCCCAGTATTCCTACTGGCAAGACCTCCCTACTGCACTGTGTAGAGGACAAGCAGAGGAACCGGTGTAGCCAGGTTAAATGATTGAAGTAAAAGCCTTGTGAATATTTGACCAATTTGTGTCAATAACAGTGATTTTCAGTGATTGGCAGATTCTCTGGCTTTGAGACTACACATGCACCATCAATATACATACAGTACAGTGTACGACATTGGCTTGCACTATAACCTGATTACATCTCAATAGTTTGCATGCAATGCCTGTTTTTTTTACTTTGTCCATAATATATAGTGGGGTCCAAAATTATTCGATCCTTTGATAAAGATTAGCAAAAAAGACTGTAAAATAAATAATACAAATACTGAGCTATATGGTATGATATTTTTTGGAACAGTTATATTATTTTATACTTATACAATTGTTCAGAGAAATATATTTTGTTTAACAAGTAATACCAAAAATCTCGAAAACATAAGGTTATAAATTATTGGATCCCCGGTTCTCAATACTCCAGCACCCTCCCCTTTCGGGGATAATGATACTGAGCCTTTTTCTCAAATGTTTTATGAGATTGGAGAACACATTGGGAGGGATCTTAGACCAATCCTCCATACAGAATCTTTCCCGATCCTTGATATCCTTCATCTGTGCTTATGGACTTTCCTCTTCAATTGAAACCACAGGTTTTCAATGGGGTTCAAGTCTGGAGACTGAGATGGCCATTGCGAAATGTTGATTTTGTGGTCAATTAACCCTTTTGGGGGTTTTTGATTTGTACTTGGGGTTATTGTCTTGCTGGAAGATTCACTTGAGGTTGTACCATGTGAGTTCATATGTTTACCTGTGAAGTGTACCTTTGACTTTTTTGTACCTCAGGGAAAAACATTGTACCCAGAGCCGGCTCTACAGGGTGGCAAAGCCGGGCATGGACCCCCAGATAGAATTTGTGCCCCCACAGTTTTGTTTCCCCATAAACATAACAAATGGTATATGAATTACAATGCACCTGACGACCTGTTGGATTGAACAAAAACTGAACCAGTGGAAGCAGAGTTTATTGATTCTTGCAAAGTGAAATCACATCCACAGCCAGCAACAACAAATGGACCCCACTCAGTGTTCTTCAAAGATACGGCGGGCCTTTGTCAGCAATGCAGACTGTGCTGTTAGCACTGAAACATGGATTTTGAATAACATATGGGACATCTACAGCAATGTGCAAAAATGTATTCAGCATGTTACATCAATGAAAAGCCCAGCATGTCCAGCTGGCATTTGAGAGGGACCTGACAAGTACATTTCATCAGGAAGGAGAATGGAATCAGAATCTTCTCATGAGTTTCAACACAGCATGGAGGAGGCTGCAACTCGTCTAAATAGTAAGCTACAACCTTTATGGCCCTGGCCGCCGTGCTAGAATTATACATTAATTGGTTTTCCCTCACGTAAGCCTAGGGGTCGTTTGGCTCGTGGGGCTTCTCTTCAACATGCTTTCTTCAAGAATGCCAAGAGTGTGAAAAGCTGTCATCAAGGCAAAGGGTGGCTATTTGAAGAATCTCAAATATAAAATATATTTTGATTTGTTTAACACTTTTTTGGTTACTACATGATTCCATATGTGTTATTTCATTGTTTTGATGTCTTCACTATTATTCTACAATGTAGTCATGCATATACACTACAGGTCAAAAGTTTTAGAACACCTACTCATTCAAGGGTGTTTTTAATTAAAAAAATAAAGAAACACCCTTGAATGAGTAGGTGTTCTAAAACGTTTAACCTGTAGTATATATGCATGACTCACACATACTGGTAGCCTAGTTTCAGCTGAATATCATCTGTCAAACTGGTCTCACAGACTAGACATAACATAGTAAAAGTAAATCCGGTACAATCATATTAGTAAGATGTGTTACGTTTGGTATGGTTATACAAGACAGATGGCTACTTAAGGCAAGGAAGGAGGGAGGGTTGGCGGCCATGCGGGGGGGCAGGCGTATAACGCATAAATACTGTATTCTCACTGCATCTATCAAAAACCTCCAGGGGACCATGACACAACGTTCTAAGAACGTCCTAAAAACATTATTGGAGACGTCCCTGGAACAAACCTGGAACAGCACAAAACCTGCAGGGGACCATGACTGTTTCAATTGAATTAATGTCAATTATGCCTTTTAAAGTAAAGTATTCTCATTGACGTGATCACATGTGAATTTCATGTGTTTTTTTCATAAGGGAACCACTGATCAAGCAACATTATGGACTAAACGTTCAAATCCTGTTGCTGCAGGATTCTTTTTCAATGACAATACAGGTCAAATTAAGATCCTACATCTGTAGTTTCTTGTTTAGAAGTGCCCTGTCATTTTGTACTGATTTTCCTGTGTGTTTGTTGCTGTGCATGCATATGTTCTCTGTTCGGTTTACATGGTAGCCATTCCTGCAGTGATCCAGGCAGGCTCAGAGGCCAAGCTTTGTGCCAGCCTTCTGCTACCCTACGAGACCCTGGTCATGACCATATCTCTGATTGCCAATGGACAGAACAAAAGTCTTCTCCAAGAGAGTTCTGACCAAAAGTTTCACCACTGCTTCCAGTTTCAGGTCAGCCCAGCACTGGGCGACATCCAGAACCATTCCAATAAGAGTTTACTATACTTCTTAGCTTTGTGATGCATCTCTTAATTTTTGTGCAATGCCATCTTATTTGATGGGAAATATCAATGTGGTGGCCTACCATAAGTTTTCTGGGATTCAAGCTGAAATTTGACATAAAAAAAGATGACATCAACTACTAAAGAAAAAGCATTTTTAAAACACACTGATGAAAGGAGAAGTGATTGTCACGGCTGTCGGTGAGATGCGGTTGAAGAAGTCAGGCGCAGGACACAACTCTCGGACATGTACTTTAATCCGATAATGACCATATGAACACAGAAATAACTCCACGCAGGGAGGAAATAACCCGCTCACTAAATGACATACGTGAAGGGAAAACAATCACACACAATGTCCTAATGAGAGACAGGGGTAATATAAGGGCAACAATCAAACATAATGACGAACAGGTGTAAACAATACAGACAAAACTAAACAACCACCGATAACATCGAACGGCAGTAGCTAGTACTCCGGGGACGACAACGCCGAAGCCTGCCCGAGCAAGGAGGAGGAGCAGCCTCGGCAGAATCCGTGACAGTACCCCCCCCCCCCCCGGCCTCGGGGACTGCCAGGAGGACGCGGAGCAGGGCGAGTCGGATGACTCCGGTGGAACTCTGTCAACAGGGAGGGATCTAGGATGTCCCTCCTAGGGACCCAGCACCGTTCCTCCGGACCATACCCCTCCCACTCCACGAGATACTGCAGACCCCCCATCCGACGCCTCGAATCCACGATGGAACGGACTGAGTACGCCGGAGCCCCTTCGATGTCTAGTGGTGGCGGAGGGACCTCTCGTACCTCATTCTCCTGGAGTGGACCAGCTACTACCGGCCTGAGGAGAGACACATGGAACGAGGGGTTAATGCGATAATTAATAGGCAGCTGTAACCTATAACATACCTCGTCCAATCTCCTCAGGTCCTTAAATGGCCCCACAAACCGCCGGCCCAGCTTCCGGCAGGGCAGGTGAAGGGGCAGGTTTCTGGTCGAGAGCCAGACCCGATCTCCCGGTGCATAAACCGGACCCTCACTGCGGTGGCGATCGGCGCTCGCCTTCTGCCGTCTGATGGCCCGCTGCAGATGGACGTGCGCAGCGTTTCATGTCTCCTCCGAGCGCCGAAACCATTCATCCACCGCAGGAGCCTCGATCTGGCTCTGATGCCAGGGTGCCAGAACCGGCTGATAGCCCAACACACACTGGAAAGGAGTGAGATTAGTGGAGGAGTGGCGGAGTGCATTTTGGGCTATCACTGCCCAGGGAATATACCCCGACCACTCCTCCTGCCGGTCCTGGCAGTAGGACCTCAGAAACCTACCCACATCTTGGTTCACTCTCTCCACCTGCCCATTACTCTCAGGGTGAAAACCCGAGGTAAGGCTGATCGAGACCCCCAAACGTTCCATAAACGCCCTCCACACTCTAGAGGTGAACTGGGGACCCCGATCAGACACTATATCCTCAGGCACTCCGTAGTGCCGGAAAACGTGAGTAAACAGGGCTTCGGCCATTTGTAGGGCTGTAGGAAGACCTGGCATAGGGATGAGACGGCAGGCCTTAGAAAACCGATCCACAACGACCAAGATCGTGGTATTCTTCCCCTGGGAGGGGGGAAGGTCCGTGACAAAATCCACCGACAGGTGAGACCACGGCCGTTGTGGAACGGGGAGAGGTTGTAACTTCCCTCTGGGCAGGTGTCTAGGCGCCTTACACTGGGCGCACACCGAGCAGGAAGAAACGTAAACCCTCACGTCCTTGGCTAAGGTGGGCCACCAGTACTTCCCGCTAAGACAGTGCACCGTACGACCAATACCAGGATGACCAGAGGAGGGGGACGTGTGAGCCCAATAAATCAGTCGGTCACGGACCTCGAGCGGTACGTACCTCCATCCCTCTGGACACTCTGGGGGAGAAGGGTCGGTACGTAACGCCCGCTCGATTTCCGTGTCGACCTCCCACACCACCGGTGCCACGAGACAAGACTCCGGTAGTATGGGAGTGGGCTCAATGGACCTCTCCTCTGTGTCATATCGTCGGGACAGGGCGTCTGCCTTAACGTTCTGTGACCCTGGGATATACGTGATCTTAAATACAAACCGGGCAAGAAACATGGCCCACCTAGCCTGACGAGGGTTCAGTCTCTTCGCTGCCCGGATGTACTCCAGGTTACGATGGTCAGTCAGAATGAGAAAAGGGTGGTTAGCCCCCTCAAGCCAATGTCTCCACACCTTCAGGGCCTGGACCACAGCTAGCAGCTCCCTGTCCCCCACGTCATAATTGCGTTCCGCCGGACTGAGCTTCTTGGAATAGAAAGCACAGGGGCGGAGTTTTGGAGGCGTGCCCGAGCGCTGGGACAGTATAGCACCGATCCCCGCCTCGGACGCATCCACCTCGACTTGGAACGCCAAAGAGGGATCCGGATGTGCCAGCACCGGAGCTGAGGTGAACAGGTCCTTCAAATGACTAAACGCCCTGTCCGCCTCAGCCGACCACTGCAAACGCACCGGGCCCCCCTTTAGCAGGGAGGTATTGGGAGCTGCTACCTGTCCAAAACCCCGGATAAACCTCCGGTAGTAATTGGCAAAACCCAAAAAACGCTGCACCTCCTTTACTGTAGTTGGAGTCTGCCAATTACGCACGGCTGAAACGCGGTCAATCTCCATCTCCACCCCTGACGCAGACAACCAGTGTCCCAGGAAGGAGATGGACTCCTGGAAAAACAGACATTTCTCTGCCTTCACATACAGATCATGCTCCAACAGTCTACCCAGCACTCGACGTACCAGGGACACATGCTCGGTACGTGTAGCGGAGTATATCAGAATGTCATCCAATATACACCACTACCCCCTGTCCATGCAAATCCCGGAAAATCTCATCTACAAATGATTGGAAGACTGAAGGAGCATTCATTAGACCGTATGGCATGATGAGGTACTCATAGTGACCCGAGGTGGTACTGAATGCTGTCTTCCACTCATCTCCTTCCCGAATGCGCACCAGGTTGTAAGCGCTCCTGAGATCCAATTTTGTGAAGAAGCGCGCCCCGTGTAATGACTCAGTCATACTAGCAATCAGAGGGAGAGGATAGCTGTATTTAATAGTGATCTGATTGAGACCACGGTAATCAATACACGGGCGTAAACCCCCATCCTTCTTCTTTACTAAAAATAAACTCGAGGACGCAGGAGAAGTGGATGGCCGTATGTATCCCTGTCTCAAGGATTCGGTGACGTATGTCTCCATAGCAGCCGTCTCCTCCTGAGACAGAGGATACACATGGCTGCGAGGGAGCGCAGCGCCAACCTGGAGGTCTATCGCACAATCCCCCTGTCGATGAGGTGGTAATTGAGTCGCCTTCTTCTTACAGAAGGAGCGTGCCAAATCGGCATACTCAGGAGGAATGTGCATTGTGGGCATTTAGTTCGGACTCTCCACCGTCGTTGCCCCTACGGAAACACCTACACACCGCCCCACACACTGATCAGACCATCCCTTGAGAGCCCTCTCTTGCCATGAAATGTTGGGGTCATGAGATATTAACCAGGGAAGTCCCAACACCACTGGAAACGCAGGAGAGTCAATTAAATACAACTGTATAGTCTCCTCATGACCCTTCTGCGTTTTCATCTTCAGTGGCGCTGTGACCTCCCTAATCAATTCCGACCCCAAAGGCCGGCTATCTAGGGAAGGATAGGGAAGGGCACATCGACTGGTAATATAGGGATTCCTAACATATGAGAAATGGCGATCGATAAAATTCCCAGCTGCGCCTGAATCGACTAGCGCCTTATGCTGGGAGTAAGAAGAAACTTCTGGAAACACAACTTGGATACACATATGAACAACAGAGAGCTCTGGGTGAGTTGGGGCCTTACTCACCGGGAAGGACTCATCCGTGCGTTGCCTGCTGCCTCGAATCCGAGGAGACCCTCCCCAGCACCGAACCGCCGTGTGTCCTCGGCGGCCACAGTTGGTGCAGGGGACAGCCTCCTTCCTGGCCTCCCTACTACCAGCACCCCCGAGCTCCATAGGGCTCGGCTCGGAGGTGCTGGGGGATGGAATGGACGGCCCCAGCGCCGGACGTCCGCGGGTAGCCAACAGGGTATCCAGGCGAATCGACATGTCCACCAGCTGATCGAAGCTTAGGTTGGTGTCCCTGCAGGCCAACTCTCGACGAACGTCCTCTCTTAAGCTACACCTGTAGTGGTCGATGAGGGCCCTCTCATTCCATCCCGAATTGGCAGCCAGAGTCCGGAAGTCCAGTGCGAATTCCTGCACGCTCCTCCTCCCCTGTCTGAGGTGGAATAGACGCTCACCCGCCGCCTTCCCCTCCGGGGGATGATCGAACACTGCCCTGAAGCGGCGGGTGAACTCCGCATAGTTCACAGTAGCGGCGTCTATCCCTCCCCACTCGGCGTTGGCCCACTCCAGTGCCTTGCCGGACAGACAGGAGATGAGGGCGGACACGCTCTCGTATCCCGAGGGTGCCGGGTGAATGGTTGCCAGGTAAAGTTCCACCTGGAGCAGGAAATCCTGACACCCGGCTGCGGTGCCATCATAAGCCCTCCGGAGCGAGAGCCGAATCCCACTGGACTCCGGATGTGAGACGATAGGAGTAGCGGATGGTGGTGGTATCGTTGGAGGAGGTGTGGGCAAACCTCCTCTCTCCCATCATCCCAAAGTGTTCATCACGTTATCCATGGCGGCACCAAGATTTTGAAGCATCGCTGCCTGTTGTAGGACGCGCTCCTCGAGTGATCCGGTCGGTGCCGTTGCTCCTGCTGACTCCATGTTGTGGTGTGTGATTCTGTCACGGCTGTCGGTGAGATGCGGTTGAAGAAGTCAGGCGCAGGACACAGAACTCTCGGACATGTACTTTAATCCGATAATGACCATATGAACACAGAAATAACCCGCTCACTAAATGACATACGTGAAGGGAAAACAATCACACACAATGTCCTAATGAGAGACAGGGGTAATATAAGGGCAACAATCAAACATAATGACGAACAGGTGTAAACAATACAGACAAAACTAAACAACCACCGATAACATCGAACGGCAGTAGCTAGTACTCCGGGGACGACGAACGCCGAAGCCTGCCCGAGCAAGGAGGAGGAGCAGCCTCGGCAGAATCCGTGACAACGTTCTTACCAACTAAGCCACACTGGATCATATGTTATTGGTTCATTGCCTCCCTGACAGGCCCCTCATGTGGAGAGTGACGAAGTGCCAAAATTTAAGGTGGAGGTTTCAAGGTGAAACGTGTCTATCGACAGAGGAGAGAAAGGTCATGATTAAACCCTACAGTCAGATGACCTTCATCCAAACAGATAAACCAATCTACAACCCGGGACAATTAGGTGACAGCATGTTTCTATGATGGTTTGCTCTGTCATCACATGTTGCTCCCAATACTCACTTGAAACAGGACAGTAAGGAGCAGATAAAGAAAAAATCCACTGCGGGTTCACTCAGGATATGTACACTGGAGTTTGAACCAACATACCCCATGTTACAAGCTGTTCCTCTCCTGGACATTATCATTGGATATCGATAGTGTAAACATTTTCAGCAAACTCGCAGTGCAGTTTTCCTTTATCTGAATTGGGGCCTTAGTACCAACGGTGTCAAATATTATCCACAGTAGCTGTCAAAAGTTTGTCTTGCAAAATTCTGGTAACTTTCCCGAAAATCCCTGGTTTTCCAGAAATCCCAGTTGAAAGTGTCCTGGAATCTGGAAATCCTTTAATGGGATTTCTGAAAAATCAATGAAAGTTAGCAAAGTTATGCTTCTAAAACTCTCATTGAGTGCCTGTCTTTGTCTTTTCATTGTCTTTTTACAGTACAGTTTAGAGTGATCACCTTGGATACCAGTTTTAGCCCTGTCAATCAGCTGGTGAGTGTTGAAAATGTGAAACATTGAATATTGAAAACAGTGACCTATTTGGTCTTCCTTCAGAACAGTATCCCCACTATTTCAAACAAAAAGACAGATACAGAAGAATCTCAAGGATCCCAACATCACAATACTGTGCGATAGACATGGCAATCAGCTATTATGTAACACTATATACAGTTTTGTCCAACAAAATGATTACAGTGTCCGCCTTATGGTTAAAGTGTCCACCCTGAGAATGGAAGGATGGGGATTCAATCCCCAGTCGAGCCATACAAAAGACTCTAAAAATGGGACCCGAAGCCTCTCTGCTTGGCACTCAGCATTAAGGAGATGGATTGGGGTTAATGCAGAGTGATAGACTAGCGTCCTGTCCAGGCTGCCTCAAGCTACAGAAACAGGAGATAGGCTCCTGTCCTATGGACAAGGACAAGGCTTATTATGTACATACTGTAAATGCTTATTTTAATTTTAAACGAGCCACCACATGTCATACACATCGCATTAGTACTTCATGAACAATAAGGCTTTGGAAATGGGCAATGTTTTGAACAACTATTTGGCAAAATCCAAATCTTTAGCCAATGTTATCTGTTTGATAAGGCTACACAAACAGTTGAGACACATAGCACTCAATGCAAACATACTGTTCTCTAAGTAAACCTGTGTGGGCTGATTTGAAGGTCCTCAAACATTCACCACAGGACATGAGGTTTTCCATTCATATAGGTCAGATTGGAACGTATGAGAATGTTTTTCCTGAGATTGAATTAATCTACTGAATTGACATTAGAGCTCCAGTGCAAATACTACTTGTGATGTTGAGTTGAAGAGACAAATCCAAGCACCTGCCTAGTTCCTATAGTTGTAGACAGTTTTGCTCCTTTGGTCATTTTGGGGGAATTTGAGAGTTATTCATAAAACATTAACCAATCTTTTGTCTTGCCCTTCACAGTACAACATTGTGGAACTTGAGGTAAGAGCCTTATTAGTCTGTCAATTTATGATGACTGTCACTAAATACTACGACATTAAGACAATGACTCCACCAGCTAGGTACTGGAGGTCATCATTCATTTCCACATGGCAGTTACTAGAAGACTCCCTATAAGCTTTATGTGATAACATCTGGGCCACCTTCAACAAGCAAACTTCGGAACGTTGCAGATAGAATGTAATGAATAGAACTGACGTGACTCCTTATTCTACATGTTAGACAGGCATGTTTGGCCTACATAACATATTTGTATCTGAACGTTTCACAATGTAGTGCCCTGCTCAACGTGCCTCTTGTTCTATGAACCCACAGGATGTTCATCACAACAGGATTGGACAGTGGGTCAATACTACATCTAGTGGCAACATTATGTAGCTTTCTCACCCCCTCAACTCTGAAGCACCTGTAGGATCCTATACCATTGTAGTTTGGATTGGTGAAAAAAAGATATACCATCACTTCAAGGTAAAAGAAATATGTCAGGTTGAGCTTCTTTCTTTTACCTTTCATGCTACATAATATTATGGCTCTGGCAGTTGATCAATGCATCACAATCCTGGAACATTCATGAGTTAACTGTTCTTTTATATCTAGTTTTGCCAAAGTTTAAGATCTAAATGAACCTCACCAATGAGATCAGCATAGTTCAAGAGGAGTATAAAGTAGTGTGTGCAATGTGAGTCAACACTATTGACGTTTTGCAATGCACTGTAGTTACAAGACAATGTGTAACTCCACTAAATGTCACTCTCCAATTATGCTAATGCTGACCTGGATTCAAATACTATTTTCAATATTTCAATAACTTTCACATACATTTCAAAGTAAGTATCTGGATATTTTTTCTTAAAAAATACAAGTAGATTAATATTGGAATGTATTTGGAAATATACAGTAGTTGGAAAGTATTAGCATGTATTTGAAAATATTTAAATATAATTATTTGTATTTTCAAATACAAATATTTTAATAATTTGTGCATTTGCACCCAGGTCTGTTTGGTCCTAGGGATATTTGAAATAATATATTTAGAAACAAGTATTTTAATATAGTTTCAAATAGTAGGCTATCTATAGGAAATTATTTAAAATACTTTCAAATACTTCAAATAGAAGTAGTTTATTTGCCCATATTATTTATATTTATATTTATTTATAAATAACCAAATACACAGAAAATTAGGATTTAAAAACAAATACTTAAATATGCATTTATTTGATCCCAGGTCTGCGCTAATGACAAATACTAATTGAAGACCTACAATGCTACTGCTCAATGTCATAAACTGCTCCTATGAGTCCCTGAAACGTTTGGGACACATTTGGCATTTACATGAACAGCTGGGCCTGTATTCATAAAGCATCTCAGAGAAGCATTGCTGACCTACACTCTTAGATAAAAGGGTTCCAAAAGAGTTATTCAGCTGTCCCCATAGGAGAACCCTTTTTGGTTCCAGGTAGAACCCTTTTGTGTTCAATGTAGAACTCTCTGTGGAAAGGGTTTTTATATAGAACCCAAAAGTGTTCTACCTTGAACCTTCTTGATAGCACCTTTTTTTCTGAGAATGTAGCATCAGGTCTCCCCCTGTCAATGTGACCTTGTTCATTATAATCCAACAGTTTAAACTGATCCTTGATCAGCACTCATACACCGAGAGTCTTTATGAATACTGGTCCAGATTCAATGTTGAAAACACTTTACTTAAAGCCTGCAGTTATAATGCATTATAAGCATGCATGTATGAGCCTTTCTAATATCTCTTATGAGGCTTATAATATACTGTCTCTCTAAGTAGGACATTTATGTTTTTTATGTGTTTTATTATTAAATCAAATCAGATACACGTATGGACAGCCTGTACCTGGCAAAGCAAAGGTAGAGTTGTGCCAACCCTTATGACACAATGTATTGATACCAATAACAATTGATGAGGAAAACCCACAAGGAGTTCCTGATTATACACCCCAATGCCACAAAGAGTCAATAGAGGTCTGTATGCTTTCCTGAAGAAACTATCAACAGTATAATTGTTTTCACATCACATTACATTTTAATGTGATGTGGTTAAATTGATTTAAATCAGTTCTTAATGTGTGGGCTTTTGCTTGCTTTTCCCAGATTGATCAAACCGGCTGTGCTTCTCATGTCTTCAACATGTCAATTTTCACAAAGAATGCTGGCCAGAAAATGCTCATAGACAGGCTTAGTTTAAACACAACAGTAGAGGAGGAGGGGACAGGCAAGTCATTCATCACAAGAATTTGGAGTTGGGAAAAGTCATGACAACATTTAATGTTTTCTGTTTTTAATAATGTTTTAAAATCTTATGTAAGCTGCACTGCAATTCAGCTTCTGCATTGTGAACTGCCATTGTGCATCATGGTGGCACGTGTGGTTGTGAAATAAACCATGATATTATCATTTGTTTTTCTTTGATAGGTATTACATAGTCAAATAATAAACATATAGGGCTCTCCTATCTGATTGGAAAACTCACATTTGTCGACACACCCAAAATCTATGAACATGGATCAATTATGGAGGGCAAGGTAAGTCCAAATCCAGTGTTATTGTTTCTTGAACTTTGTTGAATTGTGGATGCCATTTGCTCTTTGACATTCCTGTTTACCTAACTACCAATGGTAGGTAACAGTGACACATGTAGCATCACTTAATATAACTTTTCCCCCTTTTTCATCAGGTAAACGTTGTTCACTTCAACAACACACCTTTCTCTGACATGTTAGTCTACCTGTTGGAGAAGAAAGGCTGGTCCTCACATCGTCTCCAGAACCTAACCAAGTCATGGTATTGCCAGTTTCTCTCTCAACACAACCAGTATGCCCAAAGAGAATATTAACCTCATAGTAAGTATGATTCCTTCTAGGTTTTGAAAGACTTTGAGACTCTGAAGACTCTTCATGCGCTATCCCAAATCACCCCCTTGACCCTACACCCTAGGGCCTACCACGTTCTTGTGGAGATCTGAGAAGATTCCATTGGTATAATAAGCAATATGGTGAACTTCCACTTAGCCTATCAGAGGGCAAGGCGGAGCTCTAAGGGTTGATTTGGGATTGAGCCTTCAGTTATACTCTCTCTTCCCTCTTTTGCTTTCCAGGTAAGCAACACACCACAAGTGGAGAACACTAGATACAGGGTCCCCTATTTCAACAGAGGGCAACACATACTCTCACTGATCCAGCCCACTGCCCCTCACAGTAAAACCTCTAGCTCTCTGGCTATTCAGAAGATGGAGAAACCACTGGCATGTGGGGAGGATGTGTCAATCACCATCCAGTACGCCATCGTAGGGGAGACCGTCCCAAAGGGCTCTGTGGATGTCATCTACCTGGTGAGTAGAACCAGGAACAAGTTGTGACAACCTGCAAACCCAGGGTGCGTCCGAAAATGGAACCCTATTCTCTAGTGCACTATTTTGACCAGGGTTATTTCAGACCTAGTCCCAGCCTCTCACCTTCAAAGGAAGGATGTCCCTATACAACACCAATACTCCTCATCATCTCCTTCTTGCTAACTTGATGGGATAACTGTTTTTCCCTCCTCCAGGCCTTATCCAGAGGGGCAATAGTTCAGCATGGACACATGAAGGTTACCGTGCAGCAGGGGAGTCCTGGTGAGGAAGTTTTATTAAGTAATTATGAACGTACTGGAAGGTGCTTGATGACAATGACAGTGAGTATGGTTACATGCACACAATAAAGCAATTATTGTGGATAGGCAGATTAATATAATACTTCGATTAAAATGTTTATGTTTTGCAAGAGGGCATATCGCTCGGCTGGTGCTAGCACATGAGCAGATCAAATACACTGCTGGAACACCTATTAAGGTGTGTACATGTCCTAATCATTTGAAAGATTGTACAGAAAACCAGGGGCCTCATTCATAACCGTTGCGTAAATGTAACTCTAAATATCAGCGTGCGCCATTTTTGAAAAAACTGTACATACACACAAATATTGAGATACATAAACTTGCCGCATGCCATACATACGCATGTTTCCCGTTATAAATCAGACCGGTCATAAAACTGTGCAGGCGTCAATGAGCATTATAACTCTGCCTGGAAAACGTCATTATCATTCACCTTTGATTGTGACAATAACGCCCTTATTGGCTGTATACTTTGGAAGTATTGAAATTAAGCCAAGACAGTATCTAAAGGAAATAGCAATGGCGAACTTGATCAAATGTCTTTGGAGGTGTTGCCAGAATCTTTTCTTTTGCAGCCTACCGCAAATGTCACTATCTGACCGTTTCAGAAAGAAAAAAACTATTGCAAATGGTTGTGGACCTGTAAACAGATCATTTGAATGCAATAATGTTTTGCATACATTTTTTCCTGAACATAAATATGCTGCACTGCCCACGAATTCTGAAACATTGTCTAAAATGAAAACTATAGTAGGCCTACTTACAGTGGTAGCCTACACACTGCAATACAAACGATCAACTGCTGTTCACCTGTTAAATTCTACTGTATGTTAAAACCGCACTCCCTGTCCAATGCCTAGAGTAAAAACTCTGTATAATATAATAGCCTATTTAATAGGCCCAATTAAATGAGAGATGCGCATGGTAATTTGTTTTATGATTACTTCGGGAATATGAACTCATCATGGCCAGAAAAGGTGAGGAATTTATTCTTGTCACGGATTCTGCCGAGGCTGCTCCTCCTCCTTGTTCGGGCAGGCTTCGGCGTTCGTCGTCCCCGGAGTACTAGCTGCCACCGTTGAATGTTTCTATGTTTGATTGCTTTTGTCTGTCTGTTGCACCTGTGTCCGTTTGTGTCTAATTGTGTGTCCTATAAGTTGCCTGTTTGGTGTTGGTTAGTTTGTGTGTTGTTATTCGCCTGTCCGTTAGTGCTGCGTGTTTTTCTCTGTTTATTGTTTTATTGGTTTACGCACAGTTTGCGTAATCGCTTGCCTCTGTTTATTGTTGAGGCCGTTCATTGTATTGTGCTTTGGTTTGCACTAGTACACTTTGTTGGACTAAGCTTCGGTGTCCTGCGCCTGACTCCCACACCACATTAACCTCAGCCATTGACAATTCTGCATTATATCATTTATGTATTATGTTTACAAATGAAATATTGTCTACTCGAGAAATTCGACAATACAGTATTCAGACGCCTACAAAAGTCAATGAAAAAGGTGAATCGTCTGCGATCAGTTTTTCGGATCGCATAGAGCAGGGTTCTTCAGTTCCGGTCCTGGAGGGCCGAAACACTTCTGTTTTTTATTTCTACCTGGTAGTTAATTGCACTCACCTGGTGTCCCAGGTCTGAATTAGCCCCTGATTAGAAGGAGAGGATGAAAAACAGAGGTGTTTCGGCCCTCCAGGACCGGAATTGAAGAACCCTGGCATAGAGCAAAATAATTGAAAAAGCTTATCTATTTATTGTGAAGTGGGCCCAATGAACTGCGCTTCGGATCACATAGAGAAATATACTTGAAATAGCGTATCTATTTATTGTGAAGTGGGTCCAATGAAATGAGAGATGGGACGAATGGTAGCCTATCCTAACTTGTTGTAGGCCTATAGGCTATTTCGCAAGTAGCCTATGAAACCAGCACAGTCAGAAAA